GTCTTTGGGGTGTTTCTTTTATTCCTTCTATTCCAAGGACACCAGTCTCCTCTCTTTCTCCATTCCTTGCTTCTCTCTCTTGCCCTGTAGACGCTGAGATGTGTGCTCCCACATAGGGCTAGAAAAATAGCATCTTTTCCTCTTCTCAACATCTCCGCCTCCTTTTCCAACCACTCACCCCATTTGAGCTCTGTGGTGTATGTTGGCCACTGGATCCCATTTCACTACTGCTAGCGGTTGTTTTGATTGGCCGACCAATAGAACTTGGTTGAACCCCATAATATTTGGAAAGGTCACTGCTGCCGCCTGACATGAATAACTGTTTGAAACCACACTTGAAAGCTAAATTTGTGCTTAAATAGGGTTCATGTAGGCGTCGATTTTGAAAATAGACATTTACGTTCATACGTCACTTTCCGTTCATTAAGGCAAACAATCCGTTATTAGAGACCAAGATGTTAAACAAGGCATGGAGCTAGGAGACGAGCACATTATATTCTAACCTATTTCAATGTTCTGCCCCCTAGCATTTTTTGCATAAAAACAAAATGGAAATCAAGGAAACTGCAATGGCGTATTTGTCTATACGTGTAATGTGCATCGCGTATTTGTCTATACGTGCAATGTGCATCTCGTGTTCTTTTATATGCACCGATTTGCAAGCGTACTTTTGAACAATCATTTAGTGTGGCACTTTGTTCGTGAAACATAGCCGACTTTCTGCTTTTCGTTCACTTTCAATTTTTGTAACTACTGTAATATGGGGATGATTACAGTTTATATGCCCTGTGCTTCTAATCTGATGTGCATGTTATTTTGTCTTATCATCTCTATTGTGCCTTTAACTGCCATCATGTGACGTGTTCGGTTTCTTTTCTGCCTGTCAGGCTCTGCCCCTCAAGCCTCCGATTGGCTTTGGTAGGCGTAGCCATATATACTGCTTTTTTTTTTGTTGGAAGGAAAGGTAATATTATTATTATTAGTACTATTATTATTATAGGCACTTATAGGCTTTTAGGCACAATTGCCAAAAATGGGCATCTACAGGCACTATATAAAAACACTTCAAAAGCCCTTCATAACCTCTAATTCATGCTAATGTATCCCAAGTGCCATGATAGGAATGCAAGGAATAAAATAGGCATTTGCCTTTAATCCGTTCTTTAGTCGTCTCTACAGGTATGGAAATAATTTTTGTTGTTCAAAGCTGATGGCACGTTTCGCTAAAATCAACCATTTCTGAGTGGCGTCTGATCCTTTGCTACAACTCATTCAGTATATGTGAACGGTCTAGGCTTACATACCACATCCAGGATTAAGATACTTGACAATGACCGTGTGATTATTGTGGACATCAAAATCATGTGGACACCGGTGACTTATGGACAGATCTCTACCAGGTAGCTTTCCAATGATGCAACGTTAACGGTACTAATGAGAACTAACAGACAATGATGGCAAAGAAAGTATAGGAAATGTTATTAGAAGTACACTCAGACCTCGATGTTATAAAACTGGATATAACGGAAATAACGAAATCAAGGACCGTAATTGGCAAAAGTAGAAGAAGAATGAATGCGAGAGCTGTGAGGCCTTCGAAATCGGGAAGGAAGGCAAAATGTCATGTGTGAGCGAACCCTCAGTTTTTATCACAAAGAAAGAATTTGCATTTCCAGATAGCTAGTAAGCTTCGTGTTTAATTTTATCAGTTTCACATGTTTCATGCTCTGTACAGCTAGGTGCGCAAGTTTGACATGGCTAAGGTGGCCTTTTTACGCACGATGCTGATTTATGTGTTTGGCTCAGGTGGCCTTTTTGCATGCGATGCTGATTCATGTGTTCAGGTGTCTGCAGTTCTTCAATAAACATTCAGTTTTAAGTCCAGCGCTTGTCCTGTGAGGTTGTTCGTCTTTGCTGTCTTCGTGTCGTTTTTTCATTGGTATCATTTTTCTTTTACTATATGCAGGTCTGTCTGTAAAAAACTAAGAGTGGGTTTGGCTAAAAATATTATTACGGCAGAGAAGAAACGCCGGATCGACGAGGCTGTAGATAAAATATGTTGTACCAAGCAGTTCCGGGTGACCGATTAATCAGCGACCGAACGGGGCTAGCTTTTCCTTCTCTTTGTCCGGCACACACGCGCATAGTCGCAGAGAATGTCAATATGCATGCATGTAGCAATCTTTATTGATCAAATTGGGGCATACTGTATCTTCTCGTGTGTAATCCACACCAAGAAATGGAGAAATGGGCCTAAAAAGTGAACTTGCGTGTTTTGACAGAGCCCTGATGTGAGAGCTGGAAAGCTTCTTCAAGCCGCAAAACCTTGGGAAGACAGAAAAATAATGCCTCCAGTAGTGTTCCAACCGTGCACCTGGCTGTCATAGCCTCTCGTCATGGCAGCTGACTTTCAGAATGCCTTTGCAGCATTTGAATTGCATTGAAATGATCTACCGACATCCAAGACAACTAATTTGGGAATGAAAATAATAAGTACTGATCAGATCTCTAAATATGAAGCGAAGTAGTGTCTTGTGGAATTTGTCGTATGTGCACCGGTTGTAACTGGTTGTGTCGCTGTAGCGAAGGCCGTCTGTAACCCTTGACATGTCTATATAAGGTGGTATGCATCTGCTTGCATCACTGGAGTGGTACAATACGGACAAGTGTCACGAACTTCATACACAACACTGGCCTAATGGTGCACATTTAATACACATACAAACAAAAATACCGTATACACGCGTGTAAGGGCTGCACCCGTGTAAGGGCCACATCCCTTTTTTAAGAAGCACATATTAAAATAAAAAAGTTGCATGTAAGGGCCACATCCGCACTTTCCTTGACCCATACGTAATCCAAATGGCGCGCGTGTCTGAGCTACTAGGCGTTGTCAGTATATGGCGTTAGAGAACGCAATTATCATCATCACCATATGGTACGTCATTAGAATAATTTGTTTTTTTTTCATGCTAATATGTTCATGAAGTTGGCTAAAAATTTCAAGTTTTTTCAGTAGTGTTCATACACCCACCAACTAAATGTTAAAGCAGGATTTTATCTTTAACTTCTGACACTTCTATACAAACGCGCTATCCATATCGGCATTAGCATCACCAACTTTGGTATTTGTGCGCTGTTCGGTTATTGTGCTGTTCAGCCTGCCATGTGCTCGAGTTTTGCGCACCGTTGAATGACTTTGGGACTCTAGCTATTTTTCTGCGGGACGTTTTCGTTTTGGCACGATAGGCAAGCAGCTGAATAGCTATACAGCTGGCTATAAGTTGAAGGTAATCGAGTTTGCTCTCGAGCACGGGAATCGGGCCGCCGGCAGAAAATTCGACGTTGACGAGTAGTGTGTTCGACGTTGGTGCGCTCAGAAGAAAGCCTTGCAGAACACCAATATCAAAAAGCGCGCTTTCCGAGGAAAACAGTGCAAGTATCCCGATTTGGAAAAGGAGTTGCTCCGCTATGTGACTGAGGTGAGAAACAGTGGTTTTGTGCTCACTACAGATATGCTGCGCATCAAGGCACTAGCCTTGGCACGTGCTAAAATGTACCGGCCGGGGATTTCAAGGCTAGTGCTGGCTGTGTGCGAAGGTTTCTGAAAAAGGAAGGGACTCTCCTTTCGACGAAGGACCACGCTGTGCCAGCGGCTGCCAGAAGACTATACCGACAAGATGCTTAGTTTTCACAAGCACGTCATCGGCCTGCGCCATGAGCACAATTATCTGTTGTCGCAAATAGCCAACGAGATCAAACTCCTGTGTGGTTTGACTCTCCCGAGAACTACGCAGTCGAAGTAAAAGGCAAGAAAAGTGTCACCGTGCGGACAACCGGCGCTGAGCGCCAACGCTGCACCGTGATGCTTTGTGGGACCGCGAACAGGTGGAAGCTACCCCCGTATGTTGTTCTGAAAAGGAAAAGAATTCCCAATGAAGTATTCTCCAAGGGCATCATAGTTAGAGCCCAAGAAAAGGGATGGATGAACGATGATGTGGTGCTTGACTGGGTGAAAAGTGTTTGGCAGAACAGACCGGTAGCTTTGTTGGCCAAACATTCACTTTTAGTGTTGGATAGTTTCCGCGGCCACCTTACCGATAAGGTGAAGGAGGAGCTGCGCCGTGTCGGCACAGACATGGCCGTGATTCCAGGCAGCCTCACAGGAATGTTGCAACCATTGGATGTGAGCGTGAATCGACTGTTCAAAGTTGAATTCCGAAGACTCTACACGGAATGGATGGCAACCGCAACGGCAACGATGAGCAGACGCCGACAGGATGGCTGAAGAGGGTGCCGCTTGCTACTGTTCTCGGTTGGGTATTGTCGGCGTGGAGCTCGGTGTCGACGACATTGTGTCCCGAAGTTTTAAGGTCAGGATATCCAACAGCCTGGATGGCACCGAAGATGACTGTTTGTGGAATGATGGTGCTCCGCAACACACCATCTCGGACTCCGAGTTAGAAGACTTGTCGAGTGACGACGATTTAGCGCACACGCGGCATACCGCAATAAACGCTCTTCATTCGCTAACTGGTACGTTGTTTTTGGTTCACAAAAAAAAAAGTTCCGTGTATGGGTTGCACCCTGAAAATTGGCCCTCATTTCCTGAAAAAAAAGTGCTGCCCTTACACGCATTTATACGGTGTTACGCCTTATAGGCAAGTATATGTCCCAATAAAAAAAAAGGAGCTATGAATATATTTTACGAGACCTAGTCTCATTACTTTACAGGCAAACCCTGGATTTACGTAGCCACCACTGTGGTCTACTGCAGACACAAAGGTCGTGAGATTGAATTCCAATCGCAGCAGGCATACTTTATGGAAGCTTCAGAATGCTAGGTGTCTATGCACTGATTGATGTACGTGAAACAACCCGATGTGATCGAAATCTTTGGAGCTGTTCATTATCCCATCTTTTGTAATAATATTGTTGTTTTGAGAGATAAAAGCTGCCACAGTTATTAGCGTTATCAATTATATACTTCTTCATTTCAGCTGTGGGAACATAAACATTTCCGGCAACTCGCTCACAAGGATTGGCACCTAGCTCGCAGGTCACAGGCGTGCTGACTCACTGAGGTACAGCACAAAGTATGTTACCTATTCGCTGCTGGACCCATCAATAAAATGTGACTTGCAGCTTGTGCAGGTAAGAAAATGTTTTTGTTGTTTACACATGTATAGCATATTTGCATCAGAGAGATCAAACCTTTGTTTTGACCTTCTATTACACTCAAATGAGGTCAGCAGCAGTTGTGCTGTGGAACTAGAAGGATTGAAGAAGGCACTAAAGGGTCTGGACACAAGGAAAGTGTGTGCACGAGCTTGTTATCGACTGGCATGTCCAGGTGTGCAAGCACATGGAGCAACACCGGCCTGATAATCCACACTTCTTGAACAATGAGGCACAGTTTGCACTGAGCATTCCTGACAGGCTTTGTGAGCAAGAACCGAGTGAAACCAAACTGAAAATGAGAAATGCACGTGGCCATATACGTATGATACATGGGATTGGCATGCCTTTCGAACGCAGGATTGCCCGATCTACATACGAATCAGTTAAGCGTACATCATGCAACTTATGTGTTACACATGTACACTGTCAGAGCGCCAATTTGGTGATTTTACTACACTTTTTTCGTTACTTTTCAACCCACTACTTTGCAAATGATCTGAGAGAAAATATTTCAGCACACCTAATGCTTCTGCTGTTCCAAGCCTCGCAGAAAACGTTGCGTCAGTTGAACGAAGATAAAAACAAAATCACTGCCACCAGCAAGATTGGCGAAGTAAATCGATTTCTTTTCTCTGACTGATTTTTGACATTCCTCCCAGCTCCTTTGTTCATCGCTGCCTTAGATAAGTAACATAGTTTGATGATCAAGAAAATAGGCACTCGCAGTGCTCAACACAAGGGACGAAAAAACATCGCTGACAAAATAGCAGCAGCTGGAGAGTGACGTCAGAGGCTCTCGTGGTCACACAATACAGCATTTGTTGACAAGTATGCCATCTACATTCGAGGCTCCGGAATACTTTTCGAAACCAAACCTGCTTCTGGTTGTAACATAAGAGCATGTTATAAAACGTTCATCTCGTATTAGAGCAAATCGGTATTTATTGCCATGAATGATGAGCCACGAACCTCTGACCTAAAGCAAAAAAACAAAGGCGCACAAATGCTCTGTCACTGCTCTTTTAATGATCTGACCTCATTGGCTAGTCTCACAACTGTAGTGTTGTATTTTGTTGTATTGATCCTAGGTGGCGTCACTTACCCTAACACACTAACAGACGGCGCCACTAAGGGGTTACAGGTGTATATATATATGGTATCAATAAACATGGCGGGGCAGTTAGTCGCCGGCCCAACCCAACGTCGCATCGTCATATCGATACTCTCGACATGGTGCCAGAAGTGGGATCTGCATCATAGTAAAAATGCCTCTGGGCGAGAACAAGGACAGCGAGCTACCTGCAGCGACCACGGCCATAGTGGCCGTGGTCGCTGGGCCTAACTTGCAACCGCCACCCCATTTCGACTTCGAGAACCCAGCGGCTTGGCAAAGGTGGCGTCAGCAGTACGACGACTGCAGTTTTGCAACGGGTCTTCATGCGGTGGACGATGAAGTTCGCTTCAGAATGCTGCTATACTGCATGGGCACCAGGTCACGGGACATCTTGTGTTCATTGCAAGTACGGGACGAAGACTATTCAAAGTGCAGCGTCATCGTTGGCAAGCTGGACGGTTACTTCTTACGCCCCGTCAACGAGGTGTTCGAGAGCGCACGGTTCCACCGACGTGTTCAACAGGCAGGCGAGACAGCTGACGCATTCTTCACAGCACTGGGAAACATGGTGAAACGATGCTATTACTCTTCACGGGACACCGAGGAGCGACTTGTCCGCGACTGTTGTATCGTTGGCCTTCGTGGCACGAAGCTATCCGACAAGCTCTGCCACAATCCTAAGCTTACGTTAGAAGTGGCGCGCATTTGTGTCCGTCAAGCAAAAGACGCAGAGAAGGAAAGGGCAAATTTTTCAGCAGCATGTTTGCCAGCAGTGATAACGCATCACGAGTTGATAATCGTGGACGCGGCGGCAAAAGTCATGCAGAACCGCCCACAGCAGCGAGAGATGCGCAGCGCAGCTGCCCCATGGATGCATGTTTCTTCGCCTTGTGGATTTTGTGGCCGGTCCTTACATTTACGATCAGAATTTCCCGCACGCCGAGCAACCTGCAACAAATGCGGAAGGAAGGGCCATTTCGCAGTGGTTTGCCGGGCGGCTAGCAAGCAACTTTTTGTTGTGGAATTGGGTACTGTCGGTTCGAACAGCGAACAGCAGCCCAAGTTCGTGGATGTAAAAGTGGACGGAATACCTCTACGCTTCAAAGTTGACAGTGGCGTCGAGGTCACAGTCGTCCCCAGTACTTTTTCTGGAATTCCGCCATATCTTGAGCCGCCGGAAGGGGAGCTTTCAGGACCGGCGGGACAACCGCTGAACGTGCTGGGAACGTTTACCGCCACTCTGCAATGGAAGAACAAGTCCGCAACGCAACGACTTTACGTACTTCGGTCACAGGCCATGCCACTTCTGGGATTTCCTGCTATCCAAGAGCTGGGTGTGGTCAAGTTCGTGGACCTGGTGGTCGAGACGCAAGGCAGCCAGGCGGCATCAGACAAGCTGTTCTGTGGCTTGGGCGAGCTGCAAGAATCGTACACTATATGCCTAAAACCAGATGCTGTCCCCTATTCGCTGCTGGTCCCAAGGCGTGTGCCCATCCCTTCACACGGCGTCGTGAAGGCGGAGCTGGATAGACTTGAAGCGGAGGGCGTGATCAGACGCGTGACAAAGCCTACACCGTGGTGTGCCGGTATGGTCGTCGTACCAAAGGCATCCGGTTCATACCGCGTCTGCATCGACCTCACCAAGTTGAACCAGGTAGTGTTGCGTGAGCGCCATATCTTGCCCACCGTAGACCAAGTTTTGGGATTACTGGGTAATGCTCAGGTGTTCTCGAAGCTTGACGCTACATCAAGTTTTCATCAAGTAAAACTGGCAGAAGAATCTGAAGAATTAACAACATATATAACACCATTCGTACGTTATTGCTACCGTCGACTGCCATTCGGGATAACGTCCGCCCCCCGAATACTTTCAACGCCAAATGAGTTACATTCTCGAGGGTCAAGACGGCGTCGTAAACATGATTGACGACGTTTTGGTTTTTGGCCGCGACCGTGCAGAACATGACAGCCGGTTCCAATCAGTGCTGGCTCGACTGAGAAACGCCGGGCTGGCACTGAACAAGTCAAAATTTCAATTCAGCGTCACAAGTGTCAAGTTCCTCGGCGTAGTTATCTGCGGCAGCGGTATTTCGCCGGACCCACACAAGATTGCCGCTGTCAAGAGCATGGAACCTCCTGTCGACGTCAGTGGCATCCGCAGACTATTGGGCATGGCAAACCACGTGGGGCGGTTCTTACCTCATCTGTCAGAGGTGACGACACCCACTTGAGGACTGCTCAACAAAAGAAGTGACTGGGCGTGGGGACTGGCCCAGCAGGTCGCCTTCCAAAAGTTGAAAGACATGATGTCCTCCAACATCTGCATGGCTAACTACCATCCACTGTACCCGACCATCGTATCCGCAGATTCCAGTTCGTTTGGCTTGGGTGCTGGATGTTAGCTTAGGTTCTATGTATGTCGATGCTTTACCACCAAGGATCCAAAGGATTCGACTGAAACTCATGAGGTACCAGTACATAGTATTGTACGTTTAGGGAAGCTGCTGGCAACAGCTGATACCCTTTCATGAGCCCCCATCACATCAGCGTCTCCAGCAGAAGAAAACCAAGTGAAGTTGTATGTCAGCGAAGCCGTCGGCAACATCACGCAAGGCTCACCAGTTAGCCTTAAAGCGGTTCGTCAGCACCAGATGATGGATGGCGAGTGCGTTACCCTCGTGAAGTACTGCAGGCAAAGTTGGCCTCGAAAAAACAATGTGCCATCAAACCTTTCCAAGTATTGGAAGTACCAAGTGGAGCTGACCGTGTGCAATGGACTGCTACTCAAAGGAGGGCGTCTGATGATTCTGGAGGCTCTGCAGAAGGACGTCTTGGATTCACTTCACGAGGATCATCAGGGTGTGAACCGATGCAAGGCCCATGCGCGTGATGCTGTTTGGTGGCCTCATATCGACATCGATACTCTCGACAACAATAACAAAAAATTGGGATGTAGTTAACATACCAATTGGACTAGGCTGAAGCACAAGGCTGCAATACTGCAATAAATGAGGTGTTTCATCTATTCTGTCTTATGTAGTGTTCAAATGTGTGTTCTCATTGCAGCATGCATGTAGACATGATTTTTCAGGAAATAGCAAGCATGTTCTCTGTAGTAAGTGTTGAGGCAGTGATTTGCACTTCTGATATTCTGTGTTTGTTTGCACAGGTCAGAACTGGCTGCTTTGCAGAGCAATGGAAACGCTGACAGGGTGCAACATAGAATTGAAACAGGAAGGCGGCAGTGGGCCGTGGAGCAACCAAAAGCTAGGAAATGCAACCTAGCGGTGTGCCCAGTCAAAGAGTCCGCAACTTTTGGTACATATATGCCCAGGCAGGGAAAAACTTGGATGTGTACGATGAAAAGAACATGCTTAGCCCACTGCTCACTGCGACTGCATGCTTCGATGCATCGTAGGTTTATGAGAAAAATTTGTAACAGCCTTTGAAAGGGGACATGGGACCCGATAGTGAAATGTATTAGTATTAGGCCTAGAGACATGATTTTTTTCAGGGAATACTCAGCTTTGTGCACTGATTGAAAACATGTAATTACATTTTCTTTACATCAATCCGTAAAAACGTTACTATTCTTATTTTATGAATTCGGGATGTGACTTGCATGAAAAGTAATGCATCAAAAGAGCAATAATCGAACCTGTATATTGCTGTATATTCAAATAGTGCAAATATGCAATTTCATGCTAGTATCTAAGTTTTACACAAAGTTATGAAGTTTTTATGTCGCAGTCTCTTAGCTCTGAATTTTCACTGGGGATTTCTGGAAAATTTCAAAATTTTACAATGTCCTTGAACATTTTATCAAGGTTTTCTTGCACACTTCAATACCCTAGCATTCGAACAAAAAAAAAAAAAGATCAAGAAAATCAAATCAGTATTAGCGACACAGTGCTCGTTTCAAAATTCAAAATGTGCAAAAATCTGTATTTGAGAAAAACGCAATAATTGAAAAAGTTGCGAAAATGAAAATTTCATGCATGAAAGCCATAGCACTTGTATTCACAATCACTCAGAAAGCCCCTGCGGAGTAGTGTGAAGCAGGCTTTTGCTTGTGGCCTTTCGTCAACTCTTTTTTACGAATGATGTGGTGCTAAGCAGCTCTCGTTGAGTAGTTATTCATGATTTCGTTTGTAAACAGTTATGCTAATTGCACCTATCTAATCGTTATACCATTAATTGCAATTAGTTCTTGTGTACATGTATGCCAACATTGTCATGTATACTAGAGCAATGTCTTTATTGCAGCGTAGTGGTGTTTGTCCTTGTACATAGATGTGCCCAAGTGTATGTGCCCTTATTGCTGGAATATTATGAAACTTTTATTGTTTGTTCTTGTATAGTGTAAAATAAACTTTTTCTGAACAACATCCGTCCGTCTATTCTCTGCCTACTAGTGCCGAGCCCGCTCCAAACGTGTGAAGCGGGCATTGCTATTGGCATCACGATATCTTGCGTAAGCACGTGACGAGAAGGTTGGGACACCAAGGTACAGTTGGAACCCAGACTTGCTTTTAAAAAAAGGGCGATTCAAGAAGCTTGTAAAATCGAGCTTCTTGGTGCGTATCCACGATTAAAAATTAAGCAAAAATGTGCGCAAATTGAGGACGCCCAAAATAGCATTACATCTATTTTGTATTTCTTGTCCATATTATTCTGCCCTGTTTTTTTTTTTACAGCGACAGCTGTTACGGCATTATAACAGTCGGGTACACCATTGTTGAACATCGCCGGTATCGGTAACCATTCTCGCGCGAAATAACAAAAAAGTGACAGCATATCTATGGAGTGAATGATAATAAGTAGGGCGAAACGTCTATTCATCCGTGCATGCGTCCGATTGCGTTCGAGAATGCAGACAGCGCGTGGGTAACACTGAAGAGACCCGAGCCAAAGAAGCCGAGTGCAAGCGTCTTCAACGCGCCCGTCGCTCTGCTCCGTCCACGCCCCACCAATGATCCACCATGTAGGGCGACTATCCAGGAGATTAAGAGAGCCACTCGTTGGCAAAGTGTGTGCAGCAGCTAATCGGAGAGTAGTGGTAGTGTGGAGTAGCGGCAGGGTAACGCCATCTAGGAAATTAGACGAGATATGGGCATTCATTTCTTTGCCTTCTTTTTTTCCTTGCCTCTCCTTCTCTTGGTTATGCGTGACTAGTCACAGAGTTAGACTATAGGGAGCTTCGCCCCTAAAAATAGCTGCATAAATGGAGAAGGCAAAGGACACAGTCTTGCGCGTGCCAGACCAGCATACTACCAAGGAGCCATTCCGGTGTTTGAAGTTCTATTGCAAACTGACCTTAGGCAGGCTTTATGCCGGGAAAGGAATCGAAATAAAATGAGTAATATGAAGCAATTTAGAGCAGCATATCAACAACCAGGCAGAACACAGTGCAAATTGCGTATATAGTATAGGGCACCGATTGATCCAGTCGAATACGAAACCATCAGACATAATTTTTCTTTTTCGTTAGCCACAGCTTGAAAAAATTGCAGATCCCATTGTTGTATTTATATCGTACAGAAACGATGCATCCGATGCCTTGACATCATTCTCTTTATTCTCCAATCCAACGCGCTCATCCTCCTTTTCTTTCCTGTGTACATCATTTCCCCGGCTGTTAAAAAAAAAAAAAACTATCGCCTGCGTTGCACATAGTCTCTGAGCTTCGATGGAGTTTTTTTCACTCGTCAGCTTTTCCGTGATGCTTGGCCGGACATTTTGTTCTGCAGTTAAGATGATTCCGACTGCAGTGAAAATGGTTCCTTGGTTTGGGTCCTTTGCCCTGGCATAGGGGGACAGTCGTCGTGTTGTTCACTCGCAGGTGCGCTACCTTGAAAAGGTTGGTCGGATGAGAGCAGATTCCAATTTAGAATTCCAGGCCATCTGTTTATCAGCTTCCCCACGGCTTCTAGGTGTACAGCTTGAAATTTTGAAGAGTTCCATACGTGACCGTCTTCCGAAAGAAATGAGGCTGGCCCTCGTTGCTTAACGATTTTCTCCGGTTTCGAAAAGTGCGAGGATATTTTCCCGTGAACAGATGGCTTTCCCATGCGGACGTAGTCACCGACGGCAAAGTTTCTGGTCCGAGCTCCACGACGGCAGTCGGTGTAAAATTGGGGAGAAGCTTGTTTTTGTCGGACACGCTGACGCAGCCGTTTCATCAACTCTGCTGGATTTTCGTGAGATGAAGAATCTGGTAATCCAACAATGCTCAAGCGAGTCAGTACAGGAGATCGGCAGGTGCCACTCCCGTTGCGGCATGAGGTGTGCAGCGGTAGACGCCCAAAAGTCTGTCACGGCGACACGGATATCATGCCGCTCGTATACTGCCATATGGACAACAAACTTAAGGACTCTGTTGAACCTTTCTACAAGACTGTTTGCTTGCGGGTGGTAGACAGAAGAAAAGCAATGGCGTATGCCGCATTCCCGAATGAACTCCTCAAATTCAGCTGAGCTGAATCGTGGACCGTGATCCGGAACTGTTTCATTTGGGTAGCCATAACGAGCAAACACTTCTAACAAGAAGCCCCGCCGCGATGCTCTAGTGGCTAAGGTACTCGGCTGCTGACCCGCAGTTCGCGGGATCGAATCCAGGCTGCGGTGGCTGCATTTCCGATAAAGGCGGAAATGTTGTGAACCATGTGCTCAGATTTCCGTGCACATTAAAGAACCCCAGGTGATCTAAATTTCCGGGATTTGATGGGAGTTTGCCCATCAAATCCCGGGGATAAATTCCGGGGATGCCCCAGGGATAAATTCCGGGAATTGATGGGAGCTTGCCCAAAGGGGCCAATAATCAATGGCTATTTTCCCCCACGGCTTGTCAAGGAAAGTTACTAGGTGCATAGGTGCTGCAGTATGCCGTGCAGATTTGTCACATGACTGGCAAACAAGATATGTTTTAACCAGTTCTTCTACATGGTCATTCGTTTGAGGCCACCAGTACATCTCTCGCAGTCTACTTTTCGTACGACTGATCCCCGGATGGGATTCATGTGCAACTTCCATCAAACGACGAGTAACGCTACTTGGAACTATGATCCTTTCACCACGGTGAAGCAAGTTGTGCACGCACATGGAAATATGGCATTAGCACCATTTCCAGAGATTTTTTTCAGGCCAAGATGACGAAACCAACGTTTACTAGATAATCTAGTAACGTTGGTCGCGTCCTTTGTGGCCAGCAGACAGTCATCATTCCGCATTCCGGTGGCACTGCTTCCTTGTTGGCGAGGGGTCGCCGGCCGTGGGGTGGGTAACAATAAGGTATTCGGGGAACGCACGAAGTTCGAGCCCAACAATAGTCATAGAGCGAGGTTCAATGAAGAGGAAGAACAGCGAGGTTCAATAAAGAGGAAGAACAATGTACACGCTGTAGGGGAGGTAAGGAAACGATGAAACATGTTTTGATGGAATGCGGCGATAACACCCAGGTATACGTGTGGGTAAACTTACATGAGGCTTTAGGTTTTAGGGACAAACATGAAAAGCTGAACACGTCCGCGACAGAAGCAAGTACGAGATGGTTAGAGTATTGGTGACAGAAAAGTAGAGATAAAGGACAGAAATTGTGGAAAAATGAGGTCAGGCTGTTTGAAGAGATACAGATGTAACACAAATGTTTTTTTTTTGCTGTGATAAGATCAACTTTTTCGAAGTAGATAAGACATTAGGCCAACATAAAAATAGTTACCTCTTCATTTTTCCTTGCGAGCCTGGTCACACACATGTCACCGCCCTGTTATGAAGTGGACGCTCACAGCATCCGCCCATCCATCCATCCGTCCATCCGCCCACGCGTCCATCCATCCATCCATCCATCCATCCATCCATCCATCCATCCATCCATCCATCCATCCATCCATCCATCCATCCATCCATCCATCCATCCATCCATCCATCCATCCATCCATCCATCCATCCATCCATCCATCCATACATCCATCCATCCATTTAGATAAGACATTATAGGCCAACATAAAAAGAAACTTCTGTTTTCATTATTTCTTCCGAGAGAGAAGAAACATTATTGAAGTGTCCCTGCTGGGCTCAAAGGTGGCGGAGGGCCTGCTGATGGGCCCCTCTGTAACCGCCCTTCTCAGGTGGCGGCCAGGCCTTGAATCCTGGTGGCGTCTTCACCAACCGGACAGCCCAGAGCTTGTCCTCCGGGCCTGTGCTAAGTAGCAAAGCCCCCCCACTTCTCGGCCGCGGTGATTGTGAATGTAGGGTCCGTGCTGTGTTTAACTGAGTGAGTAGCTGCGGGGCAGGCCCTTACAATATGGTTGAGCTCGGCGTTAGGTGCACCACGCGCTTTTCACTGTGGCGTGTGAACAGCGGGGTAAATACGGCTGTACAGTGACGCACAGGGGAAAGTGCGTGTCTGTAGTAAACGCCAGGTAGTAAACTGCTGCATACCAAAGCAGCAATCTGGTAGTGGTATTTAAGTCGGGCCTTGCAGTGATACATTAGGATTTCTCCAAAGGTAACCATTCTATCCTTCCCATTGTCGCGAAACAAGAACACCACCATCTCTCACTCAGCCACGTCAGGTCGCTAAGGGTGGTGCTCTGCTGGATGACGCGCCCGGTGTACGAGAGCTCGGGTGGCGTCATGAGCGTGTTCGTTCCCCGCGAGCCCCAAGCGGCCTGGAGTCCAGATGAACGCAACGCGGCGGCGACGTAATGGAGGTGTACTTGTGAAAATTCGGAGTGCTCGTTGGATGAAATCTTTGGTAATGTTGCGGATGGCAGTCATGGAGTCGCTGGTGATGCAGGAGGCTTGGGTTGAAGCGTAGGCGAGTGCGATGGCTGCGGCTACGCCTTCTTCTGGTCTGTTTACGCGAATGGTGCCTGTTGCGATAATTATGTACTGCGGCCTGGTGGCAACAGCGAGGGCCACGGCCCCATGCATAGGATATTCCGGTGCGTCTACATACGCCACGTGCGTGGCTTTCACACAGCGCTTACCTAGTTGCTTGGCGCGGTGTACTCGTCTTTCCGGGTTATATTCAGGGTGCATATTGCATGGTATGGGGGGAATCACGAAGGTGTCGCGAATGTCCGAAGGAATTAGGAGGTTCTGGCTAGACTGGGAGACGTAAGGTCTGCCGAGTGTGCACATGACATTACGCGTTGTAGGAGTTTGGCCTTATCGTTCGTAGTGCAACATACATTAGGATTCAATGAATTCGTCTGTAGTATTTTGAAGTCCTAGGTCATTGAGTTTCGCATTGGGCGTAGACATAGGGACACGCAGTGCGCACTTGTAGCAGCACCTGATTATTATGTTTAGTTTTTTCTTGTCGGTGAGCGTAAGTTTCATTATTGGAGCAACGTAAAGAATGCTGCTTATGGAGAGGCGGTCA